AAAGAGAAAGGAATAATTGAAATCGCATCATATGACCCCTTTAAGTTGGCCGAATCACACAGACCAAAACAAAACCAGTCATTCCAACAGGGAACACACATTTCAACATTGAATAACTGGCTTTAGCATTGTTTTTCAAAGAAAATAGTATGTGATCTTGACGTGTTTCCTAAATATATGCAAACATATTAAGATATTTTTATGCTTTAGTACAGTCAATAAATAAATAAATACATACAGCACCTTTAAAGATCTACCTCGGCAAACCATTGTGGCTTCCCAAACCAATAATCTTATATGTCTGACCCAATTATAAAGTCAAATGAGTCTATTACATGAAATAATGTCGTTTGAAATTTGAATTTACAAAAATATCCAAAATGTAATCAAAGCAAAATGTGGTGGCTGGCAGGTTGTGTTACTGCTATTTCAAGTCAACAGCCACCAAATTTCTAATCTGTGCAGTGAATAAACTGTTATTTGACTGCATAAGTGCTTTAGTGATGTGAGTGTGATTGACCGCAGGTTTCTGGTAGAGATGTACATGTGCTATTATACTTACAGTGGCTGTGGAGATAGAGGGAAGGGGGCCGGACAGCCTCTGACAGAAAAGAGCAGAACATACTCAACATATAGAGCTCGCTGTCCCTCTCTCTATCCATCCATCATCCATCCCTTCTCACTACCTCCCAGTCACTCTCACTTTCACTTCCTACAGCTTATTTGGCTGTCAGACTGACTGAGTAAGCAAACATATGTGTGAGTGTCTGGTGCTTTAAACAGTAAAAGTGACATGAAAACAATTAGGAGAGTAATCAGTATCATGCAGTGTGTAGCATATTATCTGTTATTAAATAAGAAGAAAATGCTCAATCAAGCACATGTTCTAAATATAATGATTAAGAACACCATGAATCATTTGTGACTATGAAATGCTAACATAACTGTTACTATTTACGGTGTATAATTGTGTGAAAGAAAACTGTGAACTTGTAACAAAGCATGTTTTTTGGCTGTAGTGGATGTTACACTTTTATTCAGCAAGGACACAAT